TTGAGCTAAATTTAGCTTAGGTCAGGTCACTTTCAGGTCAAAAAAGGTCAAATTTTTAAATTAAAATTTTTCAACAAAAAGGTGGATATTGGATGCAGTTTGAGCTCAGGAACACGAGGGTGCCATTTATATTGGCGTACGATGTCAAATTCGTGCTGAAAAATTGATTTGAAAAATTAATAATTGTTAATTTTTTGCAATAATGCGTATAACTTGGCCATTTTTGAAGGTATTTAGCTAAAACTTGCTAGAGTTGCTCACAATAATGCGTTCTATCACATATATTCCGGTTTTTTCGAAAAGTAAAAAAAAAAATTGAAAAAATGTAAAAATATAAATTTTGAAATTTATTATATACAATTTTCGAAATTTTCAAAATGTCGAAAATCCGAGATAGCAGTTTGATAGCACAGTCAATTCTGAGTCCTCTCATGCAAAGAAATTGGATCTAGCTTAACCCTCGCCGGCACAGGGGGGGTTGATGCAACCCCCCCTAATATTTTTCGCGAATATCTCACGTAAAAAGCGGCCGATCGCGACGAAACTTTTAGTTCCCTCGCATTGATCAATTTTACACCTACCCTGAAAATTTCATGACCCTGACCCTAATGACCTTTGACCTGTGACCTCTTTTCTGTGACCATGTTTGGCCGAAATCGCGGTTCGGCGCATGTCGGCTCGCATTAGCCGCGCGTTTGCAAGCTTTTCGTGGTTTCACACGTTCAAACATGTGATTTGACGTTGCTCCCATGCATTAGGGTGGGTGTCAAGGTCACCTGAAGGTCAGGTCAGGTCATTGACCTTTGTTGATCTCGGGTGACCTCGGTTCACTTTTTCGAGTTTTACATGTGTTTAGGCTAGTTTTTGGAGCTGAATTCGAATTTAGCAACCATTTGAACATTTACGAAGTAAATTAGTTGAAAAAAAAAGTTTTGGTGCCTTCGTAACATGTTACGAAGCTGTCCGAGGCGGTTGACACCTATTACGAATACCCGTCACAACCTCAACCGGTTGACCTGACCTGACCCGACCTGGTCTAAGTGCTTAAGGACATCATCTCTGATCAAAACTAACACGACATTCGTGATCAGCACCCCGGAAAACCACATAGCAGCCACACTTTACGACTTTCTAACAGGTCCCGATTTTCCCGGTTTTCGGGTCATTGACCTGACCTGGTAGGTCACCCGATGACCTAAAACCTAAAAATTGGGTATCATCGGCTTCGTCTCGTGACGGGCAGCACGTTCGTTTTTTTCCGCGAAGCTCTAGCTCGATCAGGGGCCAAACGCGAGGGGGGGTCGTTCCACCCCCCCCCCCCATGTGCGTTCTAGGATGGGAAAATGGCATGTGCGGGCGAGGGTTAACCCGCGCCCCGTAGGGCTATCGGCGGACCCTACCACCTGTTGTGGGGGGTTCCGTTTCGGCCCCCCTAAGATCTCGGAAATTTACCGGCCGATTTTCAAAATCAAATGGCGTTCGATAGCTCCATCGGGGAACTACCTTGTGACCAAATTTCATTGACCTAGGTCAAACCGATGACGTCACAGGTCAGGTCAAAGGTTAGATTTTCACCGTTCACAGGCATTTCAAGAAATGTGTTGTGAAATCGAGTAAATTGGTAAGTTAGTGAGAACCATCGATGTTACGTTGTTCGTCAAACACATACTTCGCTATCTGAGGTCACTGATACCAGGTCAGGTCACAGAGGTCAGGTCACTGGGGGTCACAATATGAAAGTGTCGTGCGATACATGTTTTATGGTCCATTTTACATGACAAATGCGATTATGTGGGTCAGGCAGCCTTTGGGGTCAGTTTAGACTATGCTCCGGTGAAGGCCAGGTCAAGGTCGTGTCAAGGTCAGGTCAAATTAGGTCAAATTTCAAAAATGATATTTTTGCATAAAATGGGTATCCATTCAATGCAGCTCGTCACGGGGAGTTCAATGATGGTCTTTGTTTTGCCCTACGTGGTCCAGAATTGCCAAAAAATTGAGTTTGAGAATTTGACGTCATCATTTTTGAATAGTTTTTTCGCTATAACTTCGCCAAAAAAGGAGATATCGATCTGAAATTTGGTAGGGTAGGGTGGGGTAATTTGAACATGTGGGGCAATTTGAACATAGCATGAATAACACAAAATTATGGAAAATCCATAAGTGACGCGACAATAAGACCAATTAGGGAAATTATCGTAACTAAAAGGGCTATAATATGAACGGGGTTTAAACTTTCAGGGAATTAAGATGTTGACTCACAATGTAAAAAATCAATTTCGCAAGTAAAAACGCCCAACAACACGTCATTGCAACTTTACTGCAGCGCAAAATATTACATTGCTAGCACTTTATACGCAACGGCTTTTGTTGTACAATGAACTATAAAGTGTTTTCAACCCAAAAAATTGGCTTTTGAAACCTGTGTTAACCCTCGCCCGCACATGCCATTTTCCCATCCTAGAACGCACATGGGGGGGGGGTGGTTGCCACCCCCCCCCGCGCCATTTCGTTCCTGTTGGAGATAGAGCTTAGCAGTAAAGACCAAAAAGATTCTTTGGGAAGAGACGATTCCAATGATACCCAGTTTTACCTTCTCAGGTCAGTCATTGACCTTCCAGGTCAGGTCAAACTAAAAAATGTTGCTGTTTTTAGTCACCGTTGGATATCAAGTGCGCTGATTATCAAATACCGATGACGATGCTGTTTTCTGGTGCCAAGCCAGCTAGAACCTCTTTGTCACACTATCCGACCAGAATTTTGCTGCTGAGGTCATTTCAGGTCAAGTTAGGTCAAGGTCAATTATATGTGTTTGTATGTCTGTGTGTGTCTGTGTGTATACTGATGTGTGCACCGATTGTTTTTGGGTCCATATCTCATGAAATCAAAATCTGAGAAGCTTTTACCAAAAATGCAGTCAAAAAATTTCACAAAAAGTAAATTCAGCTTGCCTAAAACGCAATTATCTTAGATGACCTAGGTTGACCTTGACCCTGACCTTGACCCCTGTACATCGTCAAACAACATGTTCCATGATAGGTGGGAGGTAAGACTGGCAAAAAAGGCCGAAATCAGGGTGTCAAAAGCTCACAAGGCCCATGGCAAACGCAAGATGTTGAGAATTGGCCATTTGGGTCATGACATGACCTGAAAAACAAGGTCATATCTCCGAAACCAAAAATCACAGAAACTTGAAATTTTCAGTGGACATCAAGAAAGGATAGATGAGCAGCTATACGAAAAATCAGCCTTCTAGCTCTAAAAATGTTGAGTGCAGAGCAGAAAGACTGCCTGGGGGGGTGGCAACCACCCCCCCCCCCCATGTGCGGGCGAGGGTTAAAATATGGCAAAATAACTTTTAGCGTGGGGTAATTTGAACATAGTGTAAGGATTTCAATAAAGACAGATATAACTCCGAAAAAAAAAACAACGTTCCTAGTTTTTTGCCAATATCTTCGACACAAAGCAGCAGCAGCTATGTGATGCCAGTCTCAGAAAATTTGTGTCTAATTTCCGTCTTATGTCCGGCATTTACGTTGAATTTCCGTCCAAAAAAATTAAGTCAGCCATGTGTCCAAATATGTCCGAAAATTACGTATTGATCAGCATCCAAAGCTGTCATTTAAATTGTTTATATTGTAGTTTTACCAGCTGAAAAGTGTTCATTATATTGAGAGCTTAACTAAGCTTTCCATTCGCCGACCAATGCTTGCACGATTACTTCATAAAGATGCTGAAGTGTAGTAAGCCATCGTCCAATGTTGTCCAGTCCAACCTTTGTCCAACCAATTCAAATTGGACATTGGACAAAATCAGAACTCCTAATGTCCAGGTTCCGATTGGCACCACTATAACAGATGAAGCAAGGTTGGGAGTTTTTATTGAACGGAAATGACAGACGTTCTGTTAACTGGAGAGAGGCGACTTCTGTCAACTGACCGGTGTGCAGCATGCAGATATTGATACTCTGCAAGTGTTATGCTTGTTGTTTTGTTGATTTTTCAAATGAAAGTATGTTTAGAATTGTTCTGCCAATTTATTTATGCATCAAACAACATCGGTGTTGGCGAGATTATCGTTTTTATGGCACGTAAAGGCAGTATGTTCAAATTACCCCACGGTGGGGCAATCTGAACACACCGTGATTTGGTGGAGAAGTGAGGCTATGCTACCCAAGGTATGCTCGGCTCGTCCAAAAATGAGGTTTGCATGGTGAAAGGAAGTGACATTTGCGCTACTGAAACAGTTTTTCTTCATCCAGGGTGGAGCTGGAATTTGGTACGACGGAGAAGACGTAAAAATATGTTCAAATTACCCCACCCTACCCTATGTAGATAGAAGACGGTAGGTACTATCACATATATTCCGTTTTATCGAAAATCAAAAAGTCTTTTGGATTTTTTTGCTAAAATATCCAAAAAATTGCATTTTCAATTTTTGGGGGTCAAAACTCAAAAATTTAAAAATCCGAGATAGCAGTTTTGTAGTTCTGTCCATTCTACACCTTTTATATTTTGATCATTTTTCTGCATCTTCAAAGCTGTAGGCCTGACAGCTCTTCTCACGAAGGTCTTTTTTCGGTCGAAAATGGCAGAACATGACGTCATTCTGACGTCATTTGTGGTCAACCTATCATAGCCTCTGGAAAAAAATGGTCACAATGTATAACATTGATGCCCGGAGGGGTCCTGAAAGTTTAATGGCGATATCTCCAGGCGTTTAGGAGATATCGACGGAAAAGGACAGGGGGGCCGTTTCGGCCCCCCTTGCGGGGCGCGGGTTAATGCATGTTGAAATTGATATAAGCACAGACATCCAAACACTCAGACGGGTACCTAGCACACAGAGAAGACACACAAAGAATCACAGAATCACATACAAACCGTTACAAAAACACATATTGTCTGACTATAGACACAGACGCACAAAACACACTCAGACAACAGACACAGGGACACACAGATCCCCCCCCCCCCACACACACACAGGTCGGTCCTGCTCACCTGATATTCACCGCCTCCGCCGTGGTCGGCTCCGGTGGACAGAGCTCAGTACCGTCCACACACTGTTGGACCACCCGCTTTGTCGACTGACCCGGCCGGTGGACGCAGTGCAGCTCCCGCTCCTCCGTCGGCCTTTGTCCCGGTCTGGACCGCTGCAACTGCGCAGTATGTAATTACCCCGGGGCGGGGCGCCGCTGAGTCATGGTACCGATTACCGCCGACTTCGGGCCACTGGGCGACTGCAGCGCCCCTACCGGTCACCGGCGTCGTACTGTAACTAATGGGGAGCCCGGGGGCGTTCATGGAGCACTGTTGATGTAAGTGCACAGTTGCCTCGTAAAGGCTAATCAGCAACAACAACAAAATACAATGGGAGCTCTCTACATTCGTCAAGGACTTGATGTCCGGGTTCCAATGGGCCTTGTCCCGTAGCGAGGAGACTCTAGCGTGTTCAGTGAGTCGGCGGCGCGGCGTTCCAGACTGATGACGTCTGTGGGGAGTCACCAGGGTTACAGGGACAACACGGACCGCCGGTCGATGTGCAGCAGCACCCTCCACCCCTCCCCTTCCCTTTCCCAGTACCCTGGACAACTCATGCAACTCGTCAAAACAAAACATAGTGACGAGCAGACATGTGCACTGTGCAGGGATGGAAGAGGCGGGTCTATGATCTCAGTGGATATCTCGACAAAATGGAGGGTTCGGACCTACATCTCATCCCTCGCCCGGTCAGGGGTTGGGGAGGGGGAGATTGATCAACCCTCGCCCGCACATGGGGGGTGGTAACCACCCTCAACCCCCCCCCCCCCCCCAGGTAGTCTTTCTGCTCTGCACTCAACATTGTTAGAGCTAGAAGTCTGATTTTTCGTATAGCTGCTCCTCTATCCTTTCTTGAAGTTTCTGTGGTTTTTGGCTCGGAGATATGGCCTTGTTTTTCAGGTCATGTCATGACCCAAATGACCAATTCTCAACATCTTGCGTTGGCTATGGGCCTTGTGAGCTTTTGACACCTTGCTTTCGGCCTTTTTTTGCCAGTCTTACCTCCCACCTATCATGGATGATGGAACATGTTGTTCGACGATGTACAGATGTCAAGGTCAGGGTCAAGGTCAGCCTAGGCCATCTAAAATAATTGCGTTTTAGGCAGGCTGAATTCACTTTTCGTGAAGTTTTTTGACTGCATTTTTGGTAAAAGCTTCTCAGATCATGATTTCATGTAATATGGACACATAAACAATCGGTGCACATATCAGTATACACACAGACACACACAGACATACAAACACATATCATTGACCTTGACCTAACTTGACCTGAAATGACCTCAGCAGCAAAAATATGGTCGGGTAGTGTGACAAAGAGGTTCTAGCTGGATTAGCACCAGAAAACGGCATCGTCATCGGTATATGATTAGCAGCGCACATGATATCCAACGGTGACCCAACGGTGACCAGCGGTGACAACGATGACGAGGGTTAACCCTCGCCGGACCTATTGGTTTTCTACATACGCGCCGGCCGAGGGGGGGGGGCGGGTACGACCCCCCCCCCTCGCCGTTTCGCCCCTGGTGGAGCTAGCGCGTCGCGGAAAAAACGAGCGTGTGCGCCGTTACGAGACGCAGAGATTGGTACCCGATTTTAAGGTCCTAGGTCAACCGGTGACCTCTGAGGTCAGGTCAAGTGCCCCAAGGTACGGTTCAGTTTTTGGTGAATAACTTCGCAAAAAACGGCCGCAGAGCGCCGATTTTGGCAGCATCGTGTTCACCTCGCTCAGGCGCGTCGAATGATATACTTTTTGTCCGGGTCAAAACTTTGTTGCTGGCCAAAATTGCCAGATGTAATGACCCCCGGCTCCAGACTGGCTTTAGGCTGGCGGAGCAAAAAAAAAGGTCAACTTGGGGTGTTGACCTCAGGTCAAGGTCAGGTCAGCACCCCCAGGTCACGAAGTTGGTCGAAAGAGGTCATGTCGCATATCATTCGATTCGGCAGGCCTTCCTGAGTCCATTGGTGCCTTCCCCGACTCGCTAGCTCAATTTGATCAAGAGTTATTGACGAAAAACTAATTTGACCTTGATGACGTCATAAATGACGTCACGCAAGGTCAACATTGCAAAAGTGACGCATCTAACCTTGCAAGGAGTGCATAAAATCACGATTCTGTGTGCTTGAGATAGTTGGAGATCGTTCCCGGCGCCAGAATAGCAGTTTTCATTTTTCCCCATTGACTTATAATGGTGAGGTCACGAAAATGACCTGACCTCATATGACCTTTAGGAAAAATCCGAGATATACAAGTTGTGGGACTCATAATGGATACTAGATCCTGCAAGTTTCATTTCCCTGTGACATCTCCTCTGGCAGTGAGGGCGTTGCGAAGTTGCGACATCTGAAGACCGTGCAGAGGTTCACTTATGACGTCATAGGTCAGTGACCTGACCTGACCCAAAAATGCGGTTGGTGTCAAAAGATGCGGCTTGGATCAAAGGTCAGGTATGCCAAGTTTCAGCTCTCTATCGCCAGCGTGTTCGGAGCTATCGCGAAAAAACCCTATGGGGGGGGGGCGGCATCCGCCCCCCCCCCCCTCGGCCGGCGAGGGTTAAGAATGCTTTGGGAAGGTCTCGTAGATACCTTTCGAACGCCGCCTCGCGGGGCTCGATGCGACCATTGGTTCTCGAGATAACAGGGGGGGGGGGGTCGGATCCGACCCCTTCCCCCGGCTGTCGTGGGTACGGAATTAGCCCAGGCGGTGCAGGGTTAAGCGGGAGGTGGGGGGAAAGAAAAGCTTTTATACATAAATAAGTAAAAGTCTATTCTTGAATGAAATGGAAACGGTTAACCCGCGCCCTGCTGGGGGGGGGGGGGGGTTAACACCCCCTCCCCCTGTGGTTTTTGGCACACTTAATCATGCATCAATTCTACACATGTTGTAAAAATTTCAGACCAAGGTCATTCAAGGTCAGGTCACCAGGTCACTTGATGTGACCCCACCTCATAAAAAGTTTTAATGTCTGCCATAGCTACACCGAGTGACCAATCGCTTTGAAACTTTCAGCGATTGCTAAGAACTATAGTATGTACAAAATGTATTTCTCATAATTTTGATATCGATGACCTAAGGTCAGGTCAATTTTGCGACCTCCCCATTATAAGTGAATGGGAGAAAATTGAAAGGCGCTTTTTTGGACGAAAGCCATTATAAACACTCCCAAACACTGAATAACAAGTAACTAAGACACACTGAAGATGACAATAGTATCCGTGACCCCTGTTTATGCCCTTGAGGTCATTTCAGGTCACGGATGGTATCTAACAGTTTTTCACGAAAAACTTTTGATAGAGGCGTGCTTAAGCGATGAAAACGTCTTAGATGTGTTCAGCTCGACGATACGGATCGACTGATATGCAACATGACCCTTTCCGGTCAGGTCATGACTTGACCTGAGGTCAAATTTTCAAGTTTACCTTTCAAGGTCAAGTTACAGTTCATTCGATGCGTCCTGACGAGAGGAACACGATGCCGGTAAAAGTAAGCTCATGCAAGGCTTGGGTCAAAAGTTATTGCAGAAAAACTGTTTTCGAAAAAATCGGCTATTTTGGCAGTATTTGCCCCCTGCAGGCAAAACCGTTGAAGATAGGTCAAGTCTGAGAGAACTATCCAGAAAGGGCGTTAATAGGGCTATCGAATGCGCTTTTCCGCGGCTCTGTAGCTCTATTGGTTCCCGATTTATGCGTTGGCTTCTTGGAAATTGTCGACATTCGACCTGGAAATCGGCGAAATTTTGCCTTCAGTGACCTCTGGTGACCTGACCTTTGACCTGACCAAAAAGTGACCGAGTGATTTCGTCATTATTTTTGGCGCTCTTTCGAACACCGCCTTCTGCGTATCGCTACGTGGCCCAGGAGCCGAGTTAAAAGGGGGGGGTGTTCAAACACCCCCCCCCCCCCCCCTCAGCAGGGCGTGGAAATCCAGGACCCCCAGCCGGGAGCGGGTTAAAATGCACAAAATACGGGGGTCACAAATGCGGTTCACTGAATCGTTCTCGTAGGGCCACGTGGGCCACGTCGTACGTAAGGCCACGTCGGCCACGTCGTGCACCGGGCCGTCGCGCACCGGTGGATCCCGTCGAAGACTGTCGGGCCCCCGTCCCGTCTCAGCCCTCGTCGTAGCACAACACGTGGGCCTGAGAACCAGGACAGGGGCCAGATGACACATATGTGCCCGGCGCGGCGCGGCGGACCGACCGCCGCGCTCCGAGCGCCGGCCGTCTTTGCGAAAATACCTAAAAATACCAACGTATTTGCTCGCTAACACCAAGGTTTACCAATGTTGTACTGGAGGGACATTTTTATTGGTCCACCTAGTTCCTACTACCTACCCTTTAAATATCGTGTTTCTAGATGCCATATAAGTCAATCGCCAGGGGGTCATACAACCGCCTCCTGGCCGCTCGCGTTAGGAAAAACGCTCTGGCATACTGTGTATTGCAGGGACCGTGACATTTTACACCGAGTCATGTCATCTTGCATATCCAAACAATGTATTTCCAAACGAACAAAAAAGTAAATGTTCAAACTACCTATGTATCAATGGGGAACGTACCGGCTGGGGACGTACCGGCTGGGGACGGCTGGGGACGTACTGGCTGGGGACGTACCGGCTGGGGACGTACCGGCTGGGGACGGCTGGGGACGTACCGGCTGGGGACGGCTGGAACGTCAGATTTCCCGGGTGTTTCGGAGACCATATCGTCCACGACATGTCATCCCGGCCCCACCCCGTGCCGTGCGGCCACCACACCACCGAACGCCACTGACCAGCCCTAAGCTGTCGGCGGGTGTGCCTCTTTTCTACGGCCATTTTCCAGCGGCCGGCCGGAGCCAGTCGCGGGAGGCGCTGCTGATTGGTCTGTGCGTAACGCGCGAGCCACAGAGGCGTCTACTGATTGGTCCGTACGTAACGCGCGAGCCGCAGTGGCGTCTGCTGATTGGTCTGTGCGTGGTGCGCTTGCCGCGGAGTCTTCTGCTGATTGGTCTGTGCGTAACGCGCGAGCCGCAGAGGCGTCTGCTGATTGGTCTGTGCGTGGTGCGCGTGCCGCGAAGTCTTCTGCTGATTGGCCAGCTGCCTGGGCCGCGCCGTCTTCTGGCCGCCTTGGCCGGGA